ATGAAGTCTTTTTTTTTTTTAACGGGCGGTAGTTCAAGCCAGCTAGCCTAAAATAATTGCGCTTAAAATCATTAATTGTTGAGAGTAGCTTCGTCTAAAATACCAAAAAACACTTTTTCCGTCCCATAAAGATTGTGAAACAAGGCACGCGATGAAGCGAAACGCTATAGCCCGAGCCACATTTTCGCATTGTATACCGACCTCCAATGGCGCCCGGTGCTATGCACGAAGCACCAAAAAGGACGGCTCGCACGAAAATATCGGGGAATATAGAATTCCGATATTCTAAGCGTATAAATAACATATCTAGCGGCCATAAACTATAGTGTACTCCCGAGTCTATAGCGAAACCGAGGAATTTCGTGTGAGCAACAAGAATTGCGGACACGTATAGACACGGATAGGAGAATAAGTAGAAGGTGCCTCTTTCGGATGCCTCCAGTATATGCGCTCTTTGACTTCCGTCGTGCTTTGGCTGCGCCTGCACGCTCGAAGCTCACCAGATGCACAAGTGTTATGTTATGGAAGATATGTAGAAAGCTTTCACTGAAGGCGGGACTACTGCTCCCTTCCGCTTTCTTCCCGTTAGTAAACCATTCGAAAGAGAAAAAAAGGCAGCTTATTGGTGTTATTTCTAGCGTTCGTGAGTGCTTTGCACGCTCTCCTAAGTGACCAACGCGCGCCTGCTGGGGCTGTGATGATCGCACACGGCGAGGCCACGATTTCGTAAACCTTAGAACGGTGTATCGACCAACACACGGTGTTTACAAACGATCCCGCGTTTGCCCCGCACCGGGCGTGCGCAGTGCGCAAGCGCAGAAACCAGATAGATTCTTTCCGAGGCGAAGCATCTGCGCATGCGCTGTGCCGACGGCAGCGCCACCGCAGCGGCGGCGTGACGTCAGAGCGTCTACATTCAGCGAGGCGTTTAGATCCGCGCGCACGAGCCTCTATAGACCCAGACTCGTACAGTATTTTTATTACAAGTATAATCAAATTACTCGTAACAGTTACTATTTGTCTCTCCCCTTTTTGATGTCACCGTTTGTTTCTACGAGATTCCTACCGAGGAACCTTTGAGACACGTCTCCGACGAAAGGTTAGTTTAACAAAACTGCTGGATTTAGACGGTAAGTTCTTCAAAACATTGTTGAGACCGGTTCTAACGAAGTCAGCGGGAATCGGAAACCAGTTCGATATATCCGCTATTTCGTTATAACCGAGTTCGGTTATAACGAAGTGCAAAAGGGAATGGGAAATCGTGATCGCTTCGCTGTAGCCGCTATTTCGTTATAACCGACTTCGTTATAACCGGTCTCGACAGTAGGCCTTTTTCAAAAGTTCGTCGAGCAACATTTGCGGTCGCCATTTGCTTGGACGCGTAGCGTGTGATTGGTCCGAGTCCTGGTCGAACGCTGTCGCGAGCCATAGTGCCGAATGCATGCTGGGAACACGTGATCGAGTAATGGCGAATAAGACCACGCTGCAGACTTTTGAAAATGGTCTATTCGGCGATTCGAATCCAATAATGGAGAGTATCAAAGACCCGTTTCCAAACGGCAGAAAACTTTGTCGTTTTGCAGATCCAATTAGTAATCGGAGAAGTAACCTTTTTTTTCGAGTAACTGCCATTTACTTTTCTTCTCAAGTAATCAAGCAGTCTAATTGAATACGTTTTAACTAAGACTAGTTGTAATTGTTGTAATTGTAATAAACTGTTGTTGTTGTTGTTTTTCTTTTTTTTTTTAGTAACGCGTACAAGATCCACAATTACGAAGTCTTCGCAATACGCGATCACAATTTCTCGAATCAACGGTCGCGTATACAGTACACGCGGCGATTTCTGGAAACGAGATTTTATGCTCTCTCGGACGTTGCAAGTCGAGTTCTCTACCGGCTTGCTCGGACGAGCCGTTTTCCACCTCCACAGGAGCGTGAGTTTCAGCTCGGCGCGCGGCGACCATAATTCATTTTGAAGCGGGTCACTAGCACGAGTTGTGAGAGTAACTCACGGTCCGTCCGAAACAACGACCCCGATGAGGTTGAAACGAACGTGGTCCACGTTCGTTCGCTTCCAGCGGTGCCAGGGCAGAAACAGCGCGCGGGAATCGTCGGTCGTGGACCAAGGAATGTTCCCGACTTGTCTTTCGCTTCGACGCTTCCCTACAATATTATAGACCATCCCACCAATTGAAGTCTGCACGCTGCCATCTTCTGTCTATACTGGCAAAACGGCAGAACGCGTTCCCGACTTCTCTTTCGCTTCGACGCTTCCCTACATTCTTATAGACCATTCCAGTAATCGACTTCTGCGTGCTTCCCTCCTTTTTCTACTGGGCTATGGAGCACATTCTGGGCATGCGCGTTAGATCTCTTCTGCGAAGTGTCACGTGTTGCGCTCGCGCTCGTGATATCATGTATATATCCGCAAGGACTCTATGTAGAATCACCGACAGTATATGAGAACGGAAAGGAGGTCCTTCTCCTGTCCCGCGTCCCATCTAGCGCGATGCTTTCTGCACTCGGTGGCACTTCGTGGCGCCTCGTGAACTTCGAGCGTGCCCGCGAAGCCGAAGCATCGTGGAAGGCAACACGAGCGCGTGCTGGAAACCGGACATCGCAGTCGCCACGCTTCAAATTTCACGGCAAAAAAAGAATAAAAAAAGGCTGGCAAGAAAATAAAAAAAAAGGATTATGTCCGTGAAGGCGTTAAAAACCTTGGCAATATATTAACGACACGATATATTAAAAAGCGGCTACTGCTTCAGAAAAAAAAAAGGATACAACCGGAGTAACGTGAAAGTAAATCGTTACTTTTGAGCTTAAGTAACCCGTTCCTGTTCATTTTCGGTGACGGGTAACTTACTTAGTTACTACTTGAGCGAGTGACACAGTAACGGCATTTGTACTCGTTTTCACCTCAAAAACCGCAGTGAAAGAAGTTCGGTTCACGCGGAAGTGAAAACAAGTATAGCCGCCTTCATTTTTTTTTTTTTTTTCATTTTTGTTTAGTACAGTTGAACATGTCTGCTGAATACAATTAAGGAACAAGAACAAGGTGGAAAGTTGGGCAAGTTGGTTGATGGTCATATTGAATGGGTTAAAACAGCGCAAAAAAGACGAAGGACCAGTAAAAGGAAACACACAGACACAGCGCTGTGTCTGTGTGTTTCCTTTTACTGGTCCTTCGTCTCTTTTGCGCTGTTTTAACCCATTCAATATGACAATTAAGGAAACGATTGAGCAAGTGAACATCTTGTAAGCCTATAGTTTGAACACGAGACACGAGATTTAAAGTATAGGGAATACGCGCTGTGTCTGAATGTTCAGTATAGAATGAAAGAGGTCCACGTGTTCGCGAGAACACGGTATTGAGGAGACTTGTGTGACTACAGGTTGGGAAGTGCCCACTTCTGTATGTGGCTGTATAGGTCAGAGCACGAAAGCATTAATATATAAACATACATATATATATATACACACATCACGGGCACTTTTTCATCATTGTGATGCAGGACGGCGGAGCCATCCTGGCTCCGCCGTATATATTGGCTTTCGGCGGCTTCGTAAAACTTTGATTCATTGGATTAAGTGCGGTTCATTAATCTGCATATGTTCGTTTATATATATAGTGTGTGTGAGCGTGTGTGCGTTAGTGTGTGTGTTTGTGTGTGTAGTGAAAATAACATTACACGTGTTTACAGTAAAACAAAACGACTTCAAGGACGAGACGCGACTGTCACGGTTTGCTGCGGTCAAAAGTGGAACTGTGTTCTCGAGCTCACCTTTGAGAGAAAAGTGAAGATCTATAGGACAACGTTGATACCGAGTCCTAACCAATGCATTCAAGGTAGAATGCTAATCATAGGAGGGTACAGCACTCGAAGCCTTACTGTGTTTTGTATCAGTATAGAGTGCGGATGCCACACCTTCGTCTTCAGCGCCAGCACGCGGAAGGAACAGCACACACGAACCACATGGAAAACGATGAGGTATACACGAAAGGCACATGTCGACGCTATTCACCCCGAAACTCTGGAACAAACGGCTATGAGCATCTTTGGTATATATCATGAAGAGACAAGCGTCTGTTCGTCTTTTTTCTTGTATTCTCGATGTATTAATTGTTGTGCATATGGCGAGTTTTCTAATTCACACATCCAGTTAGTGTTTTTATGTTGCGGCTGGAATGACGTAGCTGGCACCTCCGAGTCAATGCCAAAATTCCTATTGGTTTTCAAAGATGGGGAAGGAGAGGTAGAAGAGTGGGACCAAAACACAATTAGTCGTTCGGTGTTTCGACAGCAAGAGTTCAGTGTGCCGTAGCGTGTCAATACGTTGTATAGGTGAGGCATTTAGCCAGCGCAGTACGATCGCTAGCCTTGGAAACTTTAACGTACACCACGCAGTGATACATGACCGCAGGCCGGCATACGATGCTCATCCAAATCGAAAAGGGCAGGGGCGGAGATTGAATCCAGGATCGCTGGGTTCTGCAGCGCGAGCTTTCGCTACACATGCTCCGAACCTCGGTGCACCAACTCAACCAGTCGCCGACTTCCCAAGACCGTATCGGTGTTTCGATGTATCGGGAAAGAAGAGCGAGAATAGCGATACTACAAAAGCAAACAAATCAATCGTCGGATGTTTAGGCAGTGTCTCGTTAGTCTGGCAGAGTATGGCGACCTTGTTATACGGACTGTGGATGAGCCATTTGTGCAGTGGAGTAAAAGTGAGACCGAAAATTAGTCGTCAGATGAGAATTCTAGCCAGTGAAGTATGACTGCTAGTGTGGGGCCTTTAACGTGCATCACTTACTAGTGATACAAGACGGCACGCCGGTACGGCGCTCATCCAGATCGAACCGGGCAGGTGAGGAGACTGGATCCAGAATCGCGTCGTTCTGCAGCGCGATAGCGCCGACCACATACCCCCTACAAAAAAGCGAAAGCAAACACGCTGGAAAGAGGAGAAACAGAAAGAAGGGGAATCTCACTCACGTCCTGGAAATCTGCCATGTCAGCGTGGTGGTGATAAATTCCAACGCTGCTGCTGCTGCTGCCCGCTTGGGAAGGCGGCGGCGGCGGCGTGGGCAGGAAAAACAGAGTCGCCACGCTCGTCATGGGGGGCAGGACAGCTCACCGGGGGCTCCCTTCCTCAGCGACGCCGAACCCTGCGGCCAGACCGGCGCTCGCCACCGGCACGCGGTCCGCCACGGCCACCGCCACGCTCCATACCAACGCGCACGTGCACGCTTCGTCTTCCTTCGCAACCACACGGGAACCAGGCGCGCTCGACCGCGCACCACCGACTGCGACGCACCTCGTGGCCGACTGAACACCCCTCCGCTCCGGGAGAAAAAAAAATTTAAAAGAATAAGCACGCTCTCTCCACTGGGGAAAAAACGTAACGCCGGTCTACGGTGAGGGCGTTGCGTCGCATCGGGCGGAGCAGCCAGGGATGATGAGTCGGAGAGGGCCGATCTTCGACGCCCGGCCGACTCGGCGGTCCGTCCCCGAGGGGCCTCCCCCTGGTGCTCCGGTTTACTTCGCCGAGAACCGCGACGGCCGCTGAGGGCCTTCTTCACCAATCCGGCGCTGAGAACGTGTCACGTGATTGCGCGCTACCGGGTGTCGCTGCTGCCTTTTTCCACGAAGAGCACGTGACACCTACACTGCGTCTGATTGGCTGCCGAAGTTCGTAACGTTGGCTGTGGTTCATCGTTTGGGGAAACGGAGTTTGGTCGCACGGAGGCGGCTCCTCTGGTCGTCGATCGGTTGCCGGTTGTGTCGATCGATGCACGTGCCGCCGGGTTTTTGGGGAGGGGAGGAAAGTTAAAGGCGGGTCGGGGTTTGAGCCGCGGTTTGGGATTCTGTGCGGGTTTTCCGAGCGCGGACTGAAAGTCGGAGAGTGGCGGTGTGGCGGGGTTGTTTTCGGTGTCGCGGCGGGAGGTTTTGTGTGCGAGCGTGTGCGTGTTTGGTGAGTGATCGGGGAAGCTGGAATCGGGGGGTGGATTGGTTTAGGTTTGATTTAGGCGGAGTGAGTTCCGGGGGTTTAGGTCGTGAAAGCCCGCGGAGTTCAATTGGGAGTGTTGGAGGTTGGTTTCGGTGTCGGTCGGGTGATGAGCACGAAACGTTTCACGCTACCGACGATGGGTAGGACAAAGTTGCCGAGTCACGTCTCGACCTCGAACCAACGTGAGTGTTTGTGTTGCTTCCTTTTCAGGTGTAGCGAATTTTGTGTGTGTGTGCCAGTGTCGTCGACCCCGATTCGCGAGTATACCTTCGTCTGAAGCCGTGTTGTGTACGTCGCTAGAACCGAACTGTGAACATATGTAACAACGGCAGAGGAAAGACACGTTAATATCCTGCGTTTCTTTCTCTAGTTATTATATGCCCTTTAAGAAAAGTGTCAAAAATCGAGGCGCGCGTTAGTTTAAAAATATTTTAACGCTGCTTCGCGTTTTCTTTTTTTTTTTTTTGCATATATCTTAGGTTTGAGTACTTCTATATTATATTTATTTGCTCAGCAACAGTGAAGAAGCTACGTGCGAAGTGAAGACACCCACTCTTCCTCCTCTCCCTCCTTCCCGTCTTGTTGGGGGAAGGTGACGGCGAATCGTGATACTTTGGAATACACATCGTGTCAAACTCACTGCAAGCTTTTTATAGACTTGCTCACCTATTTTTAAACGAGTCGCTAGTGAACCATCAAAATATCTATAAATATAACGCCGCCTTGACATAAGCCTTTCAATCATTTCATTTGTGTCCGCTCAACTACCATCTACATGAAACCCGGTCCAAAGGTATGTAATTTCTCAAATTACTAAAAAAGAAAAAAAAAAACTTATTTTGTCTTTTATTGTGTTTTTCTGTACCGCTTGAGATGATGGTGAGCGTTCTTTATGGCATAATCACACTTTCACGACGACGAATAAAAGAAGAGAAAAAAAAACTGTTCGCCAACAGGTAAAGAAGCACTTTGGCAATCGTTTTTTATTATTATTTCGTTTGATTTTAGTGCTCGAATCTACCATTGAACTGCGTCACAAATGAACATGCCTCTGAAGCAAACAGTATTCAGCGAACGACTCCTCAGTTCTCCAAAAAAGATGATTCCTTTTTGTTGGCTCTCAAGGGTGAGTGTCTTTTTCGCATGACCGAAACGGAGTCACGAGATTCCTTCGCGTCGACAGTGTCGCACGCCTTCCGCACAACTCCAACTGACTCCAGCCGACGTAGTGACCAAAACACCAGAGTTAACACAGAACGTGGAATACGCATAGCACACGGTGAGTACTGTGTAGCGTTGCTGGGCTCGAAAACTTCTCACTCGTGGTCTCTTTCGGGCGCGATATTCTCCCAGGAGCAGGTGTATATATAGTACAAGATTGCAGCACCGCACACTAGAACATTTACCGGTACAAATTTCCTCCCCGCTGGTGACGGCGATGTGGATGGGCCTCGGACCCCGTGTCGAGCGTTCGTGTTCACGTCCAAATCTTCCCTATACCGGCCAAATTGTTCTCCCTACGGTGTAAACGCGAAACAACCCTCCTGTAGGTATATCGGTATATACAGACTGACAGGCTGTTTACAAACAAGTTCATGTTTGTTTGCCCACACTATGGCGCCTGGAACACGACTTCAGCTAATCTGTTTACTTGTCCACTCGGTATCTATATCGTTTCGTGTGTGTTTTGTGTTTGCTTATACGGCGGGAAGTTGTTCAGTGGGCGTCCGGTGCCTCTGCTGTAGATGGGAAATTTAGCCGGTGCAGTACCTCCACGTTGGTGTGAACCGTTAAGGTTGCTCCAGAAACGTATACTTGGTTTCAGATTAAGTCCAGACGCAGCGAACGGCGTCAAAAAGCGCGTGTCACTAGGCCTCTTCTGTTAACGATTGATTCAGCGATAACAGAACGCGCACAGGAACACGACGAACAACGCGATGGAGCGAAGCTGCCCGATTGGTCCCATGATCATGTGAGCGTCTGTAAAGGTTGTTTGGCCGCAGTGCCTAGGTGTGCGCGGGGATGGTGACTTTACAGGGGCGAATGCTGTGGTCAATGAAAAAGGTTCCCGAATCATTAAAAAAAAAAATTATTTATGAGAATAGTGAAATATTAATTTTTATATGTGCTATTAGCCTCATGATAATATTATTCTCGGAAATACGCATTACATTTCTTCGGTTGATGCCTGAAAATGTATGACTTTTTCAACTAGTTTTACGAACGGATACCAACAAATATGTCGGGCATATAGGAATAAAACGTATATACATTTCAGAGTTTAAGATCAGTGATAATTGATATTACGTTATTGCCTCCTATAACTGTATTTCTGATGTATTTCTACTGTATTTCGAATGACGTATTAGCCGTGCGACCGCTTCTTACAAGGATGGCGGCATCGGGACTTTTTTGCGACACCGTACGCGTTCTTCCTTTTCTTTGTCGAATGAACGCGTCAAGGAGCGACCCTCTGTTCGACATCTTAATTCTTAGAGGTGCTACGGCAGTTTACCAGCGTCCCGGTTTATGAACATCGCGAGAAAGGAAGCATTGAAGTGCACCTGCATAAAAAATAACTGTTTTTTTTTTTGCTACTTTTGGCAACCATTCATTTGTGTAATCACCCAGGTCAATGAAGAACACAGGTTCACCATTCGATTACGACTTAATAAAAAAAAAATACCGGGGTTGTTTTATGTTTTTAAATTTGATGAGTTCGGTAAAGAAAACGCAAGTGGTGAAAAATATTTTTATGCACGAAGAATACTGATACATACCCTAGCTACTTCTCCACAAGTCACGGCACGGGCTGAGACAATTATTATGACTTGGCACAACGTTTTAGAGATCCTACCCAAGTAAGGTTGTAGCCGGGTTCTAGGACAACCAATCGTACTGTCAACGAGACCTTATTTCGCCCAAGACGAGTGATGGGTACGAAGCTTCGGGGAGGACGAGCAGACGTCCTTGATGATGGGGAGGTCGGAAAAGTAGACATGTGCCGAGTGACCCTCTAGTTGACATCGTAATAGAATCACCGAGAACCAAAACTCATTACCTTGTAGAGTATATAGTAAATCGTCGACGGAATAACATAACTCGACCTGCACACATTCTGCCACAAACGTACGGAGTGACTCTTCCATCCTGTACGCAGACAGCCGACACTGGACTCTCGATCAGGACGTGGACGGTCGCCGTGGCGCAACCACTTCGTCTTCCTCCCGCGAGTTCACGTCCACCGCCGCGTTCCGACGAGACTTAGCGAGCGGGGTCTCGCCCTTCCGGCGGGGTTCCAGACGACGTCGCGTCTTCCTCCGGCCAGCTTCTCACACACGCTTCCGGCTCAACGCCGTATTTCATTTTTGACTGTATACACCGACTCAGCTATACCCGTTTTCGCCTCAAGAACCGTAGTAAAAAGAAAAAAAAAAAGGTCCGGCCCATCTTGAGAAAGCATTACTAATTTCCCTCTTTGTCTAGAGAATTAAGATAAATGTAAGTGCATTTTAGATTAGATATACGCTAGCTTATCAAGATGTACGTGTTCTAAACGCCAAAAGCGCCGCCTCTTGCTCAGACAACCAAATCTTGTAAGAAATATACCTCGCGAGGCGTAAAAACAATGCGCAAAACTTTTTTTTTTTTTTTTTTCGGTACAACGAGTATATATATTTACTAAATATGAAAATATCGACGTTCCACACCCACAATTTTCTCGTGGGCGCCGCCATGTCAGATCTTGGTGCAGAGCGGTCGCAACTGGTGTTTGATCATCACGATTCGAAAATGCGACTTCCTCAGCTTTCCGTGCGGTGTCATGCAGGAGGCTCGGGTGATATTGTTTTGCTCTGTCGCGAAGTGGTTTTTAACGTTTCCGGTGGACAGAAAAGCGTTTCCCCGCGATTTCAGAAAAGTCTTCGGACAATTATGCGAGCAAGTCGTCTGCTTCTTTCACAGGGGTAACGACAGGGAGCTCTGATTGGCTGGGCTTGGAACGATAGTGGGTAGACCTCAATGCTTGATGCCTTAATGTCTACCACTATCTTTTTTATTTTTTCTCAATTCCCCAAGAGGTTATCATTCTGATATCATTAGAATGCCGAGCTTATACCGTTTCGGATGTGCAAGAAGCAGACAAAGTTGAGCTGCGTAATGGCAACAACAACAACAACAATGCAGGGGGGAGCGAATAGGCTTAGGAAAGCGAGGAGATGGATCATACTTTTTGTTTTCCATGCTAGGTGGCGTGAGCTACCGCCCGTTGTAGAAAGGATACAGCCATTCGCAAACCTCCAAAAACAACGAGCGCCGTGATGATGCATTTTTGACGCCATTTGATTGGCCCGTCGGGTCGTAGTAGGTTCCCCAATGCGGTCGGACTTCGGACGGTTTTAGGGAACCGTTTTCGCACATCCGATACGGTGTAAACGACGGGCCTTCCGGTATACGAACTGTGCGTATAAGGTTCGCACATGCGCAGTTCATACCGCAGGAGGGCGCAAAAACGATTCCCTAAAATCTGTCTTTCGTCTGCAACGGAGTGGCGCCTTTCTCCCAAATCACTATCGTCGTACACATTCCGGTGTCGTCAAAACGCCGTGTTCTGATTGGCTCTGATTGAAGGATAGTG